GCTAACGCATACAGACTCACAGACGCGGACGTGTATTCCGAGCCTAAGCAATCGAGGACTCAACGGTTACACACACGCTGTCACGGACGCGTTGCTATACGCAATATTCATTGTAGTAGTAGTAATGGTATTTTGCAAATATCTCGGAAACTAAGGCCGAGCGACGGTTATATGTATAGGAAAAAGTTGTTCAAAATGTTGATTTCTACAACATATTCAAAAATCCTAGAAATCGGTGAAGATGTACCTGTTCTCTATAATTACCTTTATTTGTTACGTCTTTTTCATTTGCCACGCTACACAGTTTCCTTTGATGCATGTCAGGTCACTTGTTCGCATACGAGCGCGGCCGCTTAGCGCGTAGCCTTCGCTAGCACGGCCACTCCAACGGTATGCGCGCGCTCTGATTGGTCGGGGTTTTTTGTTAATATCTGCTTAATGAAGCCCCATCTGACAGTTTTGCAAACGAAAAAGTTGTTTCAAATCACCTCCCGGACCACCCTTTTCAAGGAACTCCAACATTTTTGGGACACCCTGTATATTGCCATCTACCGGAGAATATTTTGTAAAAGTGATTATTAATATCGATGAGCAATGGATACGTGGCAGTACGACGAAGGACTGTCGTAGCGAAAACAAGTGTTTGTTGTTTTTGCTTTGTTTTGGCCACGAAGGACTGTGTGCCGTTGCAATTTCGATACTCCTTTGCGCATTTCGTGAACGATTAGAAGTTTATTTTGTTTTACTTCTGTGCTATTAATCTCTATATAAATACATATATTTTAAATTGAACTATTTTCTCCATTCGTCAACTGGTGCCTACAGTACTTTATTTCAAAAGTGGGATAAAGATATTCCTACGCGATAACAATTATCTGATAAGATTGTTAGGTTAAGTGGAGTTTCGAGACAGTTTTGATCTGTTTTAGCATGGCGAAAAGGAACTCGGTTGTGCGTGAAATAGTGCGGTAGTATTCGAGCATTTGTTCGAGAAAATTCCGGAAAAGGAAAAACATATTGGTATACCGCGAGGTCCTTTGGTCGTTGAGATTGTGCCGGAAGCGGAAGCCATCTTTAATTGAAAAACACGTGCTTTTCGGATTATACGCACATGTGGATTTGCGTCTCGGACAATGAGAATTTATAGCGCGTAATGCTTCGTTCGGATCTCGAAAAATTAGTTATTACTGATTTACGTAGTCTGGCAGACTCTTTAAATCTTGGCGCGAAGGGATCTCGTTCCAGCGTACTCGATCGGGTTGTGAGCTATTACGAACGAAAAGGCGAATTGATAGATATGTCGACGGATGCAACAGCCGGTGTTTCTGAGAGCGGTGGACAGTCGGTTTCAAACGCGAATGCATTATTTATTCCTGAAAACGCTGCTGGGTCCACGTTTCAAGTACGCGGCGGCGCAAGTGATTTAATAACAAATGATTACAATGTGAACGAAATTGTTCGTTCCGTCGTACGGGTGTTGAGCGAGAGGCAACGCTCGACATCAACGGAGCCTGTCCTTGGGAATCTTTCGCCGAATTCAGCGCAGAACAGGGAAGTGGAACGGAACCCAACAAGCACGTGGCATCATGTAAAGTACGCAGGAAAACTGATACCCCCTTTTAGTGGGAAGGAAGAGGAATGTGTCCTGCGATGGCTCGAGAGGATAGCGTGTGTCGCATGTATGTATGGTTTTGATGATAACACGGTGTTGTTGGCAGCCATTAGTCAACTTCAAGGTCGCGCTCGAGATTGGTATAATCGACAACCGTTAGAATCAATTGAAAGAAAAGAAACGTATACTACATCCATGGCCCGAATTAACGCGCGTATTTGGAAGTCACAATCCGAGAAATTTGTCGAGTATGCAGAGGATAAATTGAATCTAATGCAATTCCTGTCTTTTAGTGAAAAAGAGAAGATTGAACTGTTGGCAGATGGTGTCAAAGACTTTGCCATTCGACGATTAGTTTTAGACACTTGGATCACCAATGTTCCAGATTTTATCGAACATGTGAGAAGAATCACTGAAGATAGTGTAAAAATACGAAGAACGGAGCCTGTGAATAAGTTTACAAATCGGAGTGCGTCGATTTCGGTACCCAACCGAAATGGGATTACGTCAGCAGATAAAGTCTGTTTCACTTGCAGAAAACCGGGCCACCTAGCGCAGAATTGCATTGCAGCCAGGCCTACTTGTTTCAAATGTGGCCAAGTTGGTCATTTGAGCTCGGCGTGCCCGAGAAGAGAAGAAGCCAAACGAGGGGACGCGTAGCACTACATGGGAGAACGTGACGTAGGAAGGGAAGCAGCAACGAGTCCACCTCAGGAGGAAGCAGCCTCACAGATAAGCCAGATACAGACAGAGAACGGCGCGAAACCTTATGTATACATTCGAAGATTAAGTAATAATACAAAAATATATGCTTTAGTCGACACGGGTAGTCCTGTGAGCTTGGTTAAAAAATCGGTATATGAAAACTATTTTAAAAATTTAGAACTATTAAGGGTTAGAAAGGAAATAGGTTATAAGGGTATTACCGGTTCACCTCTGGTAATATATGGTAAAATATACGATCAAATCGTTCTTAATAAATTGAAAGAACCATGGTTTGATATCGTTTTACTGGTAGTCGACAATCAAACAATGCAGTATGACGTTATTATGGGGCGTGATTTTCTAAATCAGTTGAATCTTAAATTTACTTTCTTCAATAATCAATGCGCTTTTAAATATGTAAATGAACATGAAAAAACAGGGCAAGATATTCTTACAATTAACGCGATTGAAGCTAAAGAAAAATACGACGTCGTGGTCGAAAACTTAGATAAGAATATTAGCGTACAAGATTGTCAATTACTATTAAATACTTTTAAAGAAATCGATAACATGCAGATACAAAAAATTGACGATGGTCATTTTGTATCTGTTCACTTGAAAGATCAGTCTCTTTTCAGATATGCACCAAGACGGATGTCTATAAGAGAAAAAGAGGAGTTACAGAAAATTATCGACAATTTGATAAATAGAGGTATCGTCAAACCTAGTATCTCGTCCTATTGTTCCCGGATAGTTTTAGTATCTAAAAGGAATGGTAAGAAGAGGTTATATATTGACTTAAGACCTCTTAACCAAAGAATTCACCCACAAAAATTTCCGTTCCCACTTATTGAAGATCAATTAGATAAACTGGCTGGTAAGACAATCTTTACTAAACTAGATCTTAAAGACAGTTTTCACCAAATAGCAATCAATCCTGAACATACTAAATATTTTTCCTTTGCCACCCCTTCTGGGCCGCGGTAGCGACGGCTACGCGTTAGGCGGCCACTCAAACGGTCTACGCGCACTCTGATTGGTCGGGCTTTTCTCTTAATATCTCCTTAACGAAGCCCCATCCGGCATTTTTGTAAAGGAAATTGTTGTTCAGAATCGTTTCAGCTACCCCCCATTTCCGGCTCCTCCCCGACTTTTGGGACACCCTGTATACAATCCGAGAGCAGAGACAGAGCTTCACAAAGATGTAAGCAGCCTAGGGTTTGGAGCTATTTTACTACAACGGCAACCTGGGGGACTTCTAGCCCCAGTTGCTTATTTCAGTAAAGCGACTTCATTCGCAGAGAAAAACTATCACAATTATGAGCTTGAAACCTTGGCTATTATTACGTCCCATTGAACGTTTTCACGTGTACCTACAGGGTATAAAATTTCGAATGATTACAGATTGTAATTCACTAGTGCCCGCAATGAAGAAAACCAATATTAATCTGCGAATCGCTCGTTGGAGCTTGTTATTACAAAATTATAAGTTCGAATTAGTACACCGTGCTTCGAACAAAATGTTACATGTAGATTGTTTAAGCCGCAACATTCTGATGATTACTTTAGATAACATAGAGAATGAAGTTATGTACAAACAACTAACAGATACGAAATTAAAAGTATTAGCGGAGGAATTGGAAGCTAGAGAACATAAGCATTTTGTACTAATTGATGGATTATGTTCCGGATAGAATCAAACTGATAGAACGAGGAGGGGCGATAATGACTGGCAGTAAAGAATATGGGCGATCCTTCGCGGTCGAGTCTGCATTTGCGTAGATCGCGAGAGCGATTCACGGCTATCATGGCTACTCGTTGGCACAGGGAAAACCTGAGGGAGAGATGCAAATTATTGAAAACATTGCGATACCGTTTCATACGCTGCTTCTGGATCATTTTGGACCACTGGAAAGAACTGCAGACCGTTTCAAATACATTTTAGCTGTCGTAGATGCATTTACAAAATTTACGTGGCTTTTTGCCACAAAATGCACCACGACTGAAGAAGTTATTCGTAATTTAATAAATCTTTTTAATTTTTTTGGGTTCCCGGAATGTATCGTTAGTGATCGAGGAACAGCCTTCACGGCAAACAACTTCACAGCATTCCTAAAGGAAAAAAAAATAAAACATGTACTGACTGCAGTTGCTTCCCCCTGGGCCAATGGTCAAATAGAACGGGTGAACCGATTCTTAAAATCTACGTTGTCAAAATTGACAGAAAACCCATCTAAGTGGAAAGATGTTTTGGGGGAAGTTCAATTCGTTCTAAATAATACTTATCACAGAGCGATAAATACGACTCCGAGCAAACTACTGTTAGGTTACGATCAACGGCAAACTAATGATAAAGAACTATGCATATTTATTGAACAGTTAACACAATTACATAGGAAACCCACCCAATATAAAGAAGGAGACTTAGTATTAGTGAGAATTTTGGAACATCCACCGGGGACAAATCATAAATTGCCCCAAACTATAAGGCACCTTATCAAGTTAAAACCGTTTTAAAAAAGAATAGATTCATTGTTACTGATATACCGGGCTTTAGTTTAACTCAAAAACCATTAAATACTATTCTTTCGTCGGATCAGTTGAAACCCTGGATTAGAATAAATAACGAATAGATTTAAGTATATATGCAGATTCGGTCTTGACTTTTATTTACGTTATAGTTTTTTTTCTCTTTTCTTATTTTATTTTTCAATTTTTATATAGTGTTTTGGTAGAGTTATACTTTTCTTTGATAATGCTGTAGTATTGAAGTTTTAGGACGAACTTTGGGTCAGAATGGCCGAATCTGTAGGCACCAGAAATGGTGAACAGGTATACTGTATATATATATTGCCATCTATCGGAGAATATTTTGTAAAAGTGATCATGAATATCGATGAGCAATGGATACGAGGCAGTACGACGAAGGACTGTCGTAGCGAAAACAAGTGTTTGTTGTTTTTACTTTGTTTTGGCCACGAAGGACTGTGTGCCGTTGCGATTTCGATACTCCTTTGCGCATTTCGTGAACGATTAGAAGTTTATTTTGTTTTACTTCTGTGCTATTAATCTCTATATAAATACATATATTTTAAATTGAACTAATTTCTCCATTCGTCAACTGGCGCCTACAATCGTTAATTATTTATTACTATCCCTATAACCAGTATTGATAAACATAAATTTACAGTTTATAAAGTATCAATCAACAATGTATATTCATATAAATTCACAGTATACCATATAATATAGAAGTACAGTTTCAGAAACAAGCATTAGGAAGTTGGAAGAGACACATAGAGAAACCTTTCCTCCCAAGGATCTTATTGTTGTAACATAAACAAAACGTTTCGACGCGGCCGAGATCGCGCTTCCCGAACGTGTCTTTAGAAGACAAAGGAATCGTTCAAATTTCGTGCACGTGGTGCAGTAATGTTACGAAGCCGTTATTATTTGAATTTATTTCTTTAATTATTAATACTTTCTACCAAAGTTTTCAATTAAATTACTTTACAAATGCGGCAATTATAGAGAACAGGTACATCCTCACCGATTTCTAGGATTTTTGAATATTTTGTAGAAATCAACATTTTGAACAACTTTTCCTATACATATAATCGTCGCTCGGCCTTAGTTTCCGAGATATTTGCAAAATACCATTACTACTACTACAATGAATATTGCGTATAGCAACGCGTCCGTGACAGCGTGTGTGTAACCGTTGAGTCCTCGATTGTTTAGGCTCGGAATACACGTCCGCGTCTGTGAGTCTGTATGCGTTAGC